ATGACTCTGATACCATATTAAAATGTGAGTTTAACCCCACAAAACCAGCTTGTAAGGTGAGGTTTGCACCTGTCTTATTTCTAGTCGATGTGAGACTTCTAACACTTTTTTTAAAAATCTAAAATGAGAAAAGTCAATTGTTATCTTTTTAAAATAATTTTCAAATTCTTAGATAGAATTTGAAACTTTTTTTTTTGAACTGATGGATATCTTTATTAAAGAAAAGAACATAATTTCTCATTTCTCATCTAAGATTACATAAAACTTTTCTATCTTCACTTACTAAACTTTATAAAATTGAATCTATTCCTTGATTTCTCGACTTTTAAAACCTTAAAAAACAACATCTTCCTCGTTTTACTTCATGACTTATTCAAATAAATTGAAATGTTAACACTTCTTAAAATCCGAAAACACTTGAAATACTTCTTTAAAACAAGTCACAACAAAGTAAGTTATCATAAATAAGTCTAATGAGACACATCATAAAGTAACTTTTGACTTTTAATAATTCTATCTTTCTCTTGTTATTTAATAAAATAATCTCTTTTTTTTTGTCTCTTCCTAAGTTTCTCCCTTACTCCCCGTGTTTTCCATTATGGAGACACCATAATGTATGGTTTTCAATGACCTTTCAATACCTTTGATGATATTAAAGTCATGAATTAAAATTTATTCTTATGACATTTGTGTTTGTTAGACATGTCATTCCATCCATTATGAGTCATCATATTGTATCGTTCATTAATGTCTAGTTTCACACACAAATTAACATAAAAATCGATAGTAGTCCCAAATCGACTAAAGATAAAGATAATTTAAAGTAAGATTAATTATGTTTTTATTCCTAAACTATTAAAGGAATTTGGATTTAATCCATCTTTCAAAGTTTACTCTATCTAAATCCTAGGTCCTGATCTTTCAAAACTCGTGAAATCAGTTATTAATGGTCAACGATAGTAGTGTTTTTTTGACATGAAACAAAATCATGTTTAATATAATAAACAATACATGGAAATACTAAAAAAAAGAAAAATGGAAAAGGTTTGGACATTTGAATATTGAGTTGCGAGTTCGTGAACTACTCAAAGCGAGCTCCTCAACTACCCGACGCTAGTTCTTGTTCCTTTCCACACATTCACCATTTCTTAACTCTTCACAAATTCCTTCACCCACCATCTTTCATCTTCGATTCTCCAATCTCAACATCATCTTAATTTTTTCCATTCTTATAATCTTCTATCACACCTTCTAACTCCTTATTCTTTCCAGCTCACACTTTCATCTCTAACGATCCCTTTTCACTTTGTCAAGGACCAACAGGAAGATAAATGAGTTGTTAATAACAATTGCACTTTAATTCTTTAATAATTTTCCTTTAAAGTAAGTACTAGTTTCAGGATTTTTTACTATTTTCCAATTATTAGTTTTTTTTTTCACTATTCTCCATTACCATTTATTTTAAATCTTTTTTTTCTCATCACTCCATTGTTAGTAGAAGTTCAAAATTAATTGTTAGTGATAGCTTATAAAGTTATTAAAACTAGAGAAAAATAATCAATTTAAAAGAAGAAAATAATAATTAACAAATAAAGTTTATGTTATATGTTAGACCTCGGAAAACGAACCCAAAACCCCTGCTCAGACTCATTAAAAACACACCCAAACTCTGATGCACTAACGCCAGGTGTCAAGAATGGAAGTTTTGAAAATCAGATAGTGGAAGGCAGGTGTCAGCAGGAGAGCGGACGTCCGTTTGGACGGGGGAAAAACAAAAGTGATTTTCTGAAAAACTCGTACCCACTCTCTTCTGCATGCACCTTCTCCTTTCCAATCTCTGACTTTCCATTTCTTCTTCTTCTCTCTAGAAAACCCTTCCTTCTCTCTACTGTAACTCACCCTTTCTCTTGTCCGATCATCATTCAAAGACCGTAGAAGCATTCACGGCGTCTCAAGCTTCACTTTGAACCGAACAGTTCTTGATTCTGAAACTGGTAAGTTTCTCGTCTTTATCTGTTCGTCCGTATGAACATGCAAGCCAAACTCTGGTTGCATGCAGTCACCTTATCTGAACCAATCTTGGTTTTCTGTAACTTGTTTTAGTTGAAGAGTTTGGTTGAGCGTTGAGGATAGAAGAAATCTTATTTCTGCGAACTGAGTTTTGGTCTGAAGGACGTACGTTCACACTAGAGGTAAGGGAAGCTTATTTAATTTAATTTGAATTGTATGTTGTTGAACTGTTTGACGTTCGTTTAGTTGATTAGATGATTTTGATGCATGATGGTTGATATGGTTGGATGAATTGAATGTTAGTTTACTTGATGAGATGAAATGAAATATGGCTGAGTTAGGGTATGATGTACGAAATATATGAAACCTGTATGATATGTGATGTATGAGATATGAAGGTTGATTTTGATAGAAAGTTTATAAAGTTTTGAAGTTATGAAGGTATAGGTTGAGAAAACTGATTTGAAATAAATGATTTTGTATATGAGATTATACTATGATAAAATACGTTCGTTACTGGACGGTCATTGACCGTTCGGTTCTCCTGTTGAACATAGTTGAAATGGGAATCTTTCATTTGGAAAGAATTCTAGTTGAGGACGAGCGCCTCCCTATTGTAATGTTGTGCTTGAACGATCGGTCAAGCGTAGTTGTCTCTAAATATCCAGTAGTAAACCTAAATTCGGTATCTATATATATATGATTGTATAGGTAGTTGTTTCTAAACACCATTCCTATGATATCTTATTTATAAATCTTTTATTCTGAATTTTAAGTAGTGCTCGGTCTCACACCAAGCATCTCAAAATTTTAATAGTGCTCGGTCTTACACCAAGCGCTCGTATTTTTACAGTAGATCTACCCTGATAAAATAGCGTTCGTCCAATTTCAGAAGAACCTTCCTTTCCTCGTTCGGTCATTTACTGACATGAGATTTCTGTATGTAAATTATTCTAAGTTTGGTCCTTTGACGTCCTAATATGTCCACTTTATTGTCTCGGATCAAGAGTTCCCAGTTCTATGTATTCTTTGAGTTTCGATTGGAGTTCACGAGAGTCAGTTCATTTAACTGATTCGGGTTGTAGAAGACGTTCGTCACATATTGCATAGGGTACCTAATTCCTTTCTAAAGATTTCAGCAAACCCCTTTCGGTAGTATCCTGTTCTAGGACGAGGGAGTTCCTTGCCTCGTTCCAGTCGTTCGTCCTCGTTATGAAGAGGGCTGAACGTTCGGTATTTTTATGTTCTCAGAAATGATTATGAAAATGACACTAAAGTGAAAGGTTTTAAAGGATGAAGAGTTTATGAGATGAATATGAGATTATGAATTTGAACGAGCGTTCCGGGGAGGAACGACTCTTGGATGATATTGAAATTGGTAAAGTATGAATGTGGAAATGCTTGGCTGACGATTCATCTTGATGTTCTATGAGTACTCGTCCTCACGTAGAGGGGGTACGTCATGCGTGGGAACGACAGGAGGTCCTAGTCCTTAGGGGTACTTTGGACGGAACGGACTAACCTCGGGTGGCAGCTGATGAGAATTCCAACTACTACATCACCCGGGTGCACGAACGTCGTAGCTACACAGAATTCATACAGTCCGGACAGTCGATCTAGTATCAGAGTTTTGATTGAATTTGTTTATTGAAATGTATTTGAATGTGCTGGCATATGAAAATGTATGTTATTACTTGAATTAAATTACATAAGCTTACCATGTGTTTTTCCTTGTGTTGTCTCGTTTTGTACGTCCGTCCTTGTCTTTGCAATAATCATCCGTGTGGATGTGAGCAGAAGGAAATACACTGCTGGAAGAGGCGTTGGAAGAGCAATATTTGGAGGAAGAAAACTTAGTCGAAGTCGAGGTGAAAACCGAACAATAGGACATTCAGCTTGTAGTTGGTAAGTGTGGTTAGGTGGCCGTTCGTTCACCTTTTTCTTTAAGTTTTGAATGATCGTTCGGTGTTGGTTTTGTAAACCGTTCGGTCAAAATTTCTCTTATGTTGTACAGTTTTAGTTGGGAAGTTATGTAAAGCCGTTCGGCCATAGCCGTACTCTCTCTTCTAATGGTTAAAACTGACATGTGCTATTATTAATCGTAATTATTCCATTATATGGTTTTATTACTGTATTTTTGAGATGTTACATTATACAATATTAATGTTACGATTACTCTTCTCCTAACCAAAAATTAAGCTGCACTTGTTAAAATAGATAAAACAAACTACTAGAAATAAAAAGAAAATAAGAAAATACCTTCATTAGTGAAAAAAAAATTCAGTTTTGTAAATGCCTTTATCATGTTTTTTTAAGAATATTTAATAATATAATCCGTGTTTGTCATCTCTCTTAATTTTTTAATTATGACATAACTACTAATTCTCTATAATTAATCTATTTTTATCAATAACACAAATATTAAACGTTAATCATAAAAACAATAATATATTTATTAATTAAATTTGACAAAAAATAACAATAATTAATAAGCATCCAGACTGAGGATTGTGTGAATGGAGCTTCTTCTTTCATTCTTCAAATTGAGAACCATCGCCACTCCCTCCACCACCGCTGTTGTGCGAATGAGCTATCACCGCGGAAATGTTGGCGTGGTCGGTTGAATGCCACCATCGGAGCAACGTGACGCCACAGCAGTCGCCGATCTCCTCCTCCACAATCCTTTAAGCTTAATCTATTTGAGCTTAATCTATGTACACTAATTTTTCTTGTGACTTACGAGTTACAATTATCCCCGAGTATAAGAAAGACCTAAAAGATAAAACCTTTATGTTCATCCAGTAAGGAAGCAAATTCACTAGTAATCAACAAAATCCTAAGCATTAGGAAAATATCTGCCTTATGTGATCTGCATGTAGTAATTTCATCTTGCAATCCCAAAACACCAAATGAATCGCTTCAGCAAGAATCACTAAAAGAGACAAGCCCATCTTCCTCAACTTTGTCAACTGATGTAGCATGTAGCATAGTGTATTGCATCGCACATAATCCTAATCTGTCTAGAAAATAATGATCTAAGGTCAAACGTACAGTGATTCCATTTTTCTTTAAGGCTCTAGATGACTTTGAATGCCATCAGACAAAGAAAGAGATGACGCATTGTTTCTGCTGGGTAATGGTGTATTCTTTCGGGACTGGCGTTTTGTGCGCACAATCGCACTTTCGGTTTCAAAGTCCATACTCAGTATCTCCTCATCATCAGTGTCGTCGTCCATGCTGTCCTTAAAAATTGGATGAGCATAGGCATTTTGAAGATAACCTTTCAGATTCAAGTTAGGTTCTATTGCTCGTTCTAATGTATCTTTCATCATTGCTTCCTGCATAAGTAGTTCCGACAACATTAAAATTACATGAAATGGGAAACTAGAAATATAGATGTACGTTGATAATCTCGTAGGGAGCTTGGATACCAAGTCCAAATTGATTTACAAGATACATGGTATCTTCAAACCAATTTTAGTTTTAGATTAAACTAAGGTGGTGATAGTTTGAGGATCAGTCATGTAAGTCCACTTAATTAGATTTGTCTTAAAAAAGATTGGCAGGTAGCAAAGTTGTTCAACAAATATACAAGCCACTCTCCAAAAATTGTAACAGGTAATTGAGACTTCACAATGAGATGTTGGGACAACATAATTTGTTTTATCATGAAATCTGACACACTACATTTCATCTAACCTATGCCATGTCACCATTGGTCGGAAAGAGGCAAAAGGACATCCTATAGAACAGATGGAATAATATATTTCCTGTTTCAATCATGTCTAACAAACAAACAGACAGAAGTAGAAACCAGGACTCTACGATCAAATATTAGTGCAAGCACTTCAAGAAATTACTAGGCCCAAAGGACAAATCCACATACCTGTAAGGGAAATTTGACAAATGCAGATTCAAAACGGCCTTTGCAGTACCTATGGAACCATATGGTTAGTATTGGGAGAACAATGAGAAAAGGAGTCGATGAAGCAGCTTTCTTGGTGGTGAGAAGCCCCATCAGAACTATCTGTGAGACTATCAGTGCAAAAATGATACGGAAATGGACATCAGGCCAGAATGCTGCGCCACTCTCATACTCCTGATTGTATACGTTAATGATCTGCATTCGGAAAAAAAGTACAAGGTACAGGTCATTACCACATATGAACAACGGAAAAAAGTGATGCAGATATTTAGTTATGATAAGATTGAAGTTGAACACATTCTGACTTATTGAAAGAAATGTTCTGGGTGATCAAGTTAACTAGTTCTAAAACACTAATTAGAAATGCCCCACAACAAGTTATAAGATAATCATTGAGACCTACAGACACAAGGGCATTTGGAACTCTTTTCTCCCTATGGACAAGTTAGCCAATTACCTCAAGATCAAGAAGAGTCTGATAGGTTCAGAGACTAGAAGGAAAACTATAATTTAGTTACTATATGACAGACAGTTCTAACTGTATGTAGTTAGTTGCATCTGACTTCTATAAAGTGGCTTACCTAAGGTGCAAGGGATTTTATAAGTGGCTTACCTAAGGTCTAAGGGGAGGATACTATTTTGGTAGTGGGGGATCGCTTAACCAAATATGCCCATTTTATACCCTTGGCTCATCCTTTCACAGCCGAAGAAGTTGCCCATTTATTCATCAAAGATATTGTAAAGCTTGATGGTTTTCCCTCTACTATTGTATCTTACCGAAACAACATTTTTATCAGTAGGTTTTGGCGTGAATTATTCAAGAAGGCTGGCACTACACTCAAATCAGATGGCCAAACTGAAGTGGTGAATCGTTGTCTGGAGACATATTTGCATTGTATGACAGAGTCACATCCTAGGAAATGGCCTAAATGGTTACCATGGGCTGAGTTTTGGTTAAATACTAATTATAATGCTTCTATCCGTCTGTCTCCTTTTAAGGCTCTCTATGGCCGTGACCCTCTTTTATTGCTAAAAGGGTCTACCATTCCATCCAAGGTCCATAGTGTGAATTCAATTGCAATAGGAAAGAGATGACATTCTGCACGAATTAAAAGCAAATCTGTATAAAGCACAAGACTAGAACTGCATACAAGTCAACAAACGTCGTCATCAGGATGCGGCGGAATTCCAGGTTGGAGATTGGGTTTACCTCAAGTTACAACCTTATAAATGGCAATCCTTGGCTAAACGCCCTAACGAGAAGCTTAGCCCCAGATTCTATGGTCCTTATGAAGTGGACCAACGCATAGGGATTGTTGCCTACTATTCAACCAATGTTCAACTTCTTCCTTATGCTTTGACTGAAGATCTTATGTTAGAAGTTCAGCCAGAATCAGTGCTAGATGTTCGTACTTCTTCTTCTAGTGCCTTGGAAGTTTTGATTCAATGGCAGAATCTTCCATCCATTGAAAACAGCTGGGAGGATGCTACTATTGTTGCTAAGGAGTTCCCTACTTTTCCCCTTAAGGACAAGGTGAAACTTCATGGAGGGGATATTGATAGGTTCACAAGGAAGGTTTACACTAGAAGGAAAACTGTAATTTAGTTACTATATGACAGACAATTTTAACTGTCCGTAGTTAGTTGCATCTGACTTCTATAAAGTTAGAATGGACAGTTTAGCCGTTATTATCTTTGTTTGTAATTTGTAAAAGGTTAATGTGGGAGAGTCTGGTTGTCTCTAATAACCAGAAAGTTGTATGTTGTTTGGGTCCTTTCTCTAGAGGAAAAGTCAGTGATATTATAATACGTTTTACAGTTTAATCACAAGTATCATTTGTGTAGGACTGTAATACCTATCAGAGTCACCCTTCAAAATCCTATTCAAACGATTAATTGTTCCTATTAAACGATTAATTGTTCCTATTATTTTTCTAGGTATGACTATATGCCAGGAACTTCTCACAATATTTTTAAAAATACTAGTATACTAATAGGGACACGTGTATAAGCCATTATGGTGCTAAGCTCTAAATGTGCCGTGTGCATTTTTTAACAATGGTTGATGGAACCCGAATCATAATCGTGCTTATAAAATTCAATCACCATTGGCTTGTAATTAAAAATCTAACATCTGTGTACCTGATGACGGAAGACAACATAGGCCAAGCCAAAGAAAACTATAATGAAAGGAAGAACAGCAGGAGTGACTGCAGCATATACTAGACCCAACAAAAAGTACAACTGTATACGTGGTTCTCCAGAGTTGAAACCGATACTCCCAGGATCCATGGCCTCTTCCCTGTCCTTTTCAGTTTTCACCAAGAAAAAATTCTTCAAGTGATAAAAAATTAACGGTTTCAACATCAAAACCTCCGCAGCTATACTAGCCCATCCGTCAACCATTATATAAGTAATGAAGAAACTTGCTTTTAAAGGAATAGCCGTGCCAATTGTTACCGGATATCTGCCAAAAGATTAACAAGTGTGCTTAATTTTATCGACACAGTCTAAATTTAAGAAAATATCTTGGATCAATACATGGAATCAAACTACCTGAGGGTGATTAAGAATGTTAAAATATTGTTTATTAAAAGGTATATTTCATAGTATAGATTATGAAACCATTACTTTTTAATAGTTGGCATGGATTTAGCATTAAAGCCATTTCCATGTAATAAGAAGTGATATATTGAGTACTAACACAAGACCAGTAGATCACACCCACAACACAGGAAATATAGTAATGCAATTTACAAGGTAAAATTACTACAGAGAATAAAAAACCGAGTTCCCTATATGGAATAACTTACTGGTTCGCTGGTTGGTGAAGGAAAGAACTCAGCTGTTGAAATGCTGTTCCGGTAAGTATGTTCCCAAGGAATATATTCACAAAATTGAAAAGATAGTGTCTAGAAGCTGATCTTCTTTCAAGAGATGATATAGATTCAAAGCCTTCAAATTTAGACATGATCATCAATATTGTTGGCAAGAAGATAAGGAACAGCTTCAGCACAATACCGGGCAGAAAACCTTGAATGAATGACTTTATGAAAGGGCTGTAAAATGAGATATGTTTGAATAAGTAATCACCAGTGATGCAAGTGAAATCATATCTCGAGATTTCCAGCCATTAGATTAGACTTACATAGTAACAAGTGGCTTCAGCCACGGTGCTGCTTTCTGGATTCCTTCAATACTTGCAAGGGTTTGAACAAATGCAATGGGGATCATAAAGAAGAAAGTGAGGAAAAAGAATGCCACAGCTATGATTAACCTTCTGACAGTGAGGGAAACATAGGGAATTGGCAAGTTTCGCCAATATACATCTCGCGGTTCTGGAGCCCACTCAGTCAGCCAAAGTGTAGGATCTCTAGTTTGCTGAGTTTGTGCACAAACAGCAGCACCCCATCTTGTTTTAAATGAAACAAATGCAGCAGGCATGATAGAATTGGGATCATTTGTGACCTTTTCCCTCTCTACAACAATCTGCAAAATCACCTCTGACCATCAAGAAAACTTAAAGAGACTAAAGCAATGAAAACACAATATAGCTATCTACAAATGACCTATTATGTTGATATTGGCCCTAAGTAAAATTGAATTAAGAAGTTTCTTCAGCATTTGTTGCAGTCCAAAGTTGATAGGACAAACTCTAGCCAGCATTTGGAAAATTCTCTATTTTGATGTAAATGATGAATAAGGAAAGGCTGCCACAAAATAGCAGAATACTATGATGCATGCGATAAGGTAAAGAAACTAGCAGAATGTTTAGGAAATTCTAGCCTAAAATGAGCTCAGCAAAATTAAAGTAGATTTGGCTTGGTAGTAAAAGTGGATGGGAGGGAGGGATAGGATAACGGTTCTAATTGCCCCCTTATATTAACAACTAGCATTTGTGGATCCATGAAAAAGGGTAGATTTTCATATAAAAGTAAATTTCTTAAAAGTTTGTCTATCTATTATTGGCATGGAAGGTTTCATTATGCACGTGTAATGAGATAAACTTTGTGATAGAAAAGAAGATATACGCGATACTTACTTCTTTTGACAATTTATCAATTTCATTGATGTGGTGATCAATAGCATCCACTTTCTTTCACCAAAGGCCAAGGAAACCAGTCTGGAAGCACGAAATAAGAGGGAAAGCTCAAGTGAAACCTGGATGGTTCTGATAAAATTTTGACTGAATATTAATTTCTATTTAAATACCTTTATTTGGGGTCTTTTTGAAGTTCTTTCAAGTTTATTTTGATAGTATACAAGCCAATTTTTCAACTTCTTCTTCTTGTTAACCAACTTAGCAAGTTTGTTGGCATCATAAACAACCTGCATAAACGTTATAATAAATTGGCTGATACTATTTGTACCAATTTAAAGAAAACTAAATAGACAATTGAAAATTAAACAGCAAGTTAAGAGCAACAGTATATTGGGTATCAAAAGATAGGACAATGGAAGGGGAAATTGGGGATATTTTGGGTTATGAAAGGATTATCAGTTTTGGTTTCTATTTTTGCCAATAATTTCAACAGTAACACTTTCTTTTACACTTGGTTTCGGTTGTCAAAGATTTGTGCAATTTGAGCAAGAAATGGTAGAATATGTAATTGAAAATTGGAAACAGAGTAGAAAGCATGTAATTATTGGTGAAAACAAGGAATGACTTTCTCAAATCAAGCATGCCAGTTTCATTTAACATGTAGTTAATAATGTATATGTAATTTCAATTCAAATTATAAACTTGAATTCTATGAACACGGTGAAGTGCAGTAACAAGGTGACTTCTGGCCACAAGATATCCAAACCTTGTAGTACGGGGAGAAACTTAGAAACTAGAAACCACACAATGCATAATACGAAAATCAGGGAGATAATAGATGCAAGTACCATTTGAGCAGTGTGGGTGTAAACAGTAGGAACCAACCTGGTGAGTTAGATAGTGATCTGGATGATTGACCAAAAAGAAGTGCTCAACAAGCTCACTCACAGATTCATCAGGGTCTGATGGAATATTTCTAACAAGCACCTGAGTACACAGTATTTCTATAAGCAAAAATGTGAGTAGCTAGTGCATGACAACTCAATCACTGCTGCAATTTTCTTGAATTCATCACTAGTAATAAAGATGCACAAGAACTGCATTGCTCTGTTGTAGTAAAAGACCCCAAAAACTGTTAAATATACAACTGAAATCTACCATTGAAAATGAACAAGTATAATACAAACTCCAACCTCTAAAAGCTCAAATCAGATTCCATTACTTCCTTTCAGAGATGCTCAAAGCCAGACAAAATTATAGTAAAAAAAACAAAGGAGTGAACCTCAATCTGCAACCACATAGTTCTATATAAAATAGTTACATTTAATATTGAAGGGTGAAAATTTCAGTTTACCGTAAATTGATCAGGACGACGCTTTTCTGCTGCAAGAAAACCAAGTCTCATTGATGCTACCTTCCCATATTCCTTTAGCAAAACATAGCAAGTCCAAAAGGTAAAGGCATAAGCCAGTACTATGTGTCCCCAAAACCTGAAGAAGTTCACAGAACTTTAGTATACATCAATATGCATCACATTAGTGACTTACTTTGCAATGCTAATGTTAACAAGGGAGACGATGCCAATTAAGTAGAACGAGTAATGTTAATATTCAAATAGATTTTGGGGAATTAAGTGATGTTGTCCGAGAACTAGAAAGAAAGACTGGTGGGAAGAATTGATAATTTAGGTATGTCATAAGCACTATAGAAGATGAAAAGCAATTAAGATAAGCTTAAGGTTTCACCTAATTAGATGCTAAATCTAAAACACCATAAGTATACACTTGGCATGGGGACAGTTCAAATTTGAAGACTTTGGTAGAAAACATGAAAATGGAGTAGCAGAATTGCAACAGCACTGAATGGAGAAATTGAAACCTTTCAGATCGACTATGGACATTTGAAACAGAGAGTTTATCAATGTCACTGGAAGTTATGTTTCTTATGTGGGCTCCTTCAAGGCCAGTACTAGTCCAATTAACAGGAACCAGAATAGTCCAAGCCAAGAATGCTATGGGGACAAAGATTTTAAGCCTGCCAACACAAACAGAAAAAATCAGATCAGAATAACCGTATCATGCTTTCCTGAAGTAGCATTGACTCAATGCTGCATACATACCCTATCAAGTAAATTCGCAAGTAAACAACAGAGTCCAATCCTGCATGGTCAATAAGCTCAGGTTCTGGCATTCTAATTGCTTCTGGCATCCAATTCAAAAACCCAATATATGCTCTCCAGTCTAAATTGATGAACTTGCTTACAAACGCTCTTCCCTGAACTGGATCTGTTCTTAAACCCTTCAAATACCATTTTGGAAAGTACACCCTATCGTTCCAAGGTTGAAGCCTCAAAATAGCAAATGCCACAAAGAAAAGCAATGCACTGGAAATGTTTATGGCAGCAGCAACCCCTATATCCGACAATGTTGTCATCTCTTCCTACTGAACGGATAAAGGTCTACCTACAGTGTGAGCAAAGGGTTAATGCAATGTTAGGTTAGATTCATTCAAAAACAATTTTGAACCAAAACTTTATCTGCCAGAAGGTCATTTCTTTTCAGTATGATTTTCCATATTATTCCAGAATTCCATTGAATAAGTACATTTACATAATTTACAAGAAAACTGACATGCTTTTGTTTCCATAATAATTTTAAAAACTGATTAATGATTAATTTCTTATTATTTGCAAACCTTGTGTCCTACTCTCTTCCATCCAATCCATAACAACAAACACAAAAATCAATAACACTTCTAGCTTTCTGGTTCCATAACATAAACCGCCCCCCATTCATCATTCAAACAGTGTTCACTCAAAATGATACAGATCAAACAAAAAATCAAGTAGAAATAGGAAAAGAAACGAATTAATCATCACCAAAATCAAAATTTATCTCTTTGATCACCTCCTACCTATGTTTTGGTCAAAATTCAATCTTCCGTGAGCCTTACCCAGAAACACTAACAATAACAACAACTAACTAGAATGAATATCATGACAAGAAAGCAACGTGTGATTGATTGGAATGCTCACAATAAGTTGCAGAGTTGAAGATGATGCAACGTGGGGCGAAAGGGTGTCTGTGTAAGAGGTGGAATATCTTGCAAAGCAAACAAGGAACAAGATTCCGCAAGCTTTTCTAGTATTAGAACACACGCCACTGTCACCTGCTTGAGCTTGAGTTCAGAAACAGGAACCCAGCTTCAAGACTTTACTATCACACACAAAACAAAATATGAAGCAAAACGCAGAGAGCAGAGACAGTGGAATAGTTTGTGTCTAGATTTTTCTTCTGCATTTCAGGCAATTGCATTCAGTTCCTTTTATAAAGGTGGGTCGGCACGTGATAACACCCAAACATACGTACTACTATCACATTCCATTCCATTCCATTACATTCGTGCCAACTATTATTGTATTTTATTTATAGATATTTTTAATTAACTGTTCATTAAAAAAATTCTTTCATCAATTTCTTTTATATTTTTATTTAACTACTCTCTCGTTTAATTTTGCAGTCAATGGAATAGCTTTAATGTTTTTGAAAAGAGAGAAACGAATTATTGAATAAAGATCAAGTAAGGTCAAACCACAGATGAAAACATATTTTAAATATATAATAAAAATATTTTTTCCTATCTAATATTTCTTTTTGAATTTTGAATTTGTCTTGTAACATTTTTCGTTCTAAAATACCTTTTTAAAAATTTAAAATCACCATTTCTATCTCTTTGGTATAATAGAGGAGTATAAATAACTTGCACTATTTTTCAGAAAAGTAAAAGAAAAAGTATGTATCTCATATACTAATATGGTTGTTTTTGAAACTCCTAATTATTGAGAGAAAAAGGGTGAATGGGAATATAAGGATATGAAAGGGACCACTGCAGCCATGGTAGAATTATGTGAAGATAGTAAGATAGATGATGCTACAAAAATCTGATTCAAACTAAAGGTAATAATTAAATGAAAAATAATGCAAGAAGAGGATGAGGTGGCGTAACGAAAACGACTTACCTAAGCGTGTATATCCGTGTAGATATAGCGTTGCTTGCGTACAAATGGACCACGTATACAAAATCAAATCAATTATTCAATATTATATTATTTTGCTTTTGAATTTCATTTTCTAAAACTTTAAACAAATCAAATAAGAAAATAACATTATTTAAAAAATAATCATAATATATATATATATAAAAAATAGTTTAAAAGAATTAGATTTTCTATCGATTTAAGTATTGAAAATACTAAATAAATGTTTTTGCAAGAAGAGGAGTGTCTACTTGTCTAAAGCACTTGTTTAAGTTAAAAGAAAACCTAAGGTCTTATACAAAAAGTTTCGCAAAATGTTTAAATGTTAATACATAGTTTTATTTAAATGAGAATATTACAGAAAGCGCATGATCAATGAGAAAAGTCTATATAAAAGCTTTAGAGATAACATACTTAAAAATTTGTATTAAAAGAAAAATAAGTCATGAAGGAGACGTCTTAGAAATATGTGCAAAATAGTAAGATACACTTTCAAACTCTCAAATTAAAATATCCTTTATTAAGAATCATAATAATATTGAAACCTAAATGTCGTACATCAAAAAACAAGGTTATAAACAAGAGTATTCCATAAAGCTGAAAGCTAAAGGGAAGAAATTTTTGATGATGTCTCAAAGTCAAGTCTCGAGTACTCTTATTGTAAGAAGATCTTCATGAAGACTTGTCTTGTGTTAAAGCTTTTGTAATTTAGTATATTTATGTATAGGATGTGGTTTATGTTTGATTCTATGTATTGTTTGCCTTAGGTTGCCTTAAAATTCGTTTTGAATATGAAAACCTCATTTTATAGTCAGGATAATTGATTATGACTTGCCATAATCGATTATCGCGAGCAGTAATGAGAATTTTTAAGTAAGTTTTTGACTGTTGAGCATTCATTAAATGCATAATCGATTATCATAAGTTGATAATCGATTATCACACGTTAAATAATTGACAATGGATTTTTGGAGGTATCCTTGAGTGAGTTCTCTATAAGTTAGATTAGGATTCTCATTCTAAAATGCGATATACTTGAATTTTTAAAAGCTTATATGTTTTGTTGTGTGTTGTGACATGTCTGTTCTAGGGTTTGTGTAACCCTTGTGCTTTGGCTTTGAGAACTTGGTGTTGGCATAGAGAAAGAACTTTCGTGGGAGTTGTGATTGAGTGTTGTTGTTGTTCTTGAGTTAAAGTTTGTCATCCTTTGTGAAGATTCAAAGTAGGTGCTCATCCTTCATGAAACATTCGGAGGAGGTGTTCCTTCCTTGTGCACTTCAGGAGAAGTGAGTTTCATCTCTTGGGGTAACAAGAAAGGTGTTCTAACCTTAAATTGTGTTATTTTCTTTATGATTGTAACAATTTGTTCATTTTTTATAGTGAAGCGTTAATTCTCATTTAAGATTAACAACTAGATGTAGGATCTGTGTGATCCGAACTAGTATAAAAATTACTTATGCAATTTTCTCTCTTCCTTACTCTTTTATTTGTTTAGATTGTTATTAAGGAATTTATATTTTACGAGAAATTTATTAAAGGTATTATTTGCGACAAGAAACCAATTCACCCCCCTCTTGGTTTGTTGTACACGCTAACCATTCCATTGCACCGCTTTGACAATTGGTATTAGATCTTGCTTTGATAGTAATTCAAAATGACGGGGCAACATCAAACCTTTGCTAAGGGTGCCTCTATCAATAGAGCTTCATTGTTTAATGGAGAAAACTATGCTTTTTGGAAAGTGAGAATGCAAATTTTCATGGAATTTATTGATAGTGAGATTTGGGAAACTGTCACAAATGTCCTTTTATTCCTATGAAGGTACTAATAATGTTAGAAAGTGGGCTTTAATCCTAACTCATCCCCACAAACCGACTTGTAAGATGAGGTTTGCATCCACTTATATATTATAAATTGGCTTTATCTCTAGTCGATGTGGGACTTCAACACACCCCCTTCACACCGAGGTATAGACATCTCGTGAGAGTAGATATTAATGGATGGTCCGATAACGGCTCGATAGTAGGTGGAACACAATGGCCACATAGATCTCGCTAGGAAAGGCTCCAACCATGACTTTGATACCATATTAGAAAGTGGGCTTGAAGCCTAACTCATCCCCACAAAACCGGCTTGTAAGGTAAGGTTTGTACCCACTTATATATTATAAATTGGCTTTATCTCTAGTATATGTGGGACTCCCAACCAGAAGAAATACTCTAATCCAAGAGTATGAGATGTTTTGCATGAAGTAAGGAGAAACTATTGTAGATGTTCAGAAGCGCTTCACGCATATAGTGAATCACAAAGGTTGTTTGGTAAGTTGACTGCCATCAGTGAGTCACAAAATCTCAATATCATGTCAATAGCTGCATTGTTTGATAAGTTGAGAGAACATGAACTGGATTTCGGGAGATTGAACGATGATAAAGAGAAAGAAAAGGAAAAAACTCTAGCTTTGAAGTCTGAGATAGAAAAAGGTAAAAATCTTAAAGAAGAAGAGGAGATGGTTTTCAATTCTCCAAGACAATAAGCTTTTGTTGAAGTTCTTGGAGCTCACGGAGGTGTGCCTGTCGTTGGGTGAGAAGGACTTTGAGCTCGACATCGTAATGTTTGGGTTGTTCATTGTTTTGTTGGATAAGCATTTGCATTTGATGTTGCACGATCGCCATTGGGTTGGATTCCATCTCATGGAAAACTTATGCTTGACTCTGAGTGGTGACCATGGGAAAGTAAGACTGGGGAAGAGTTTTACCGAGGCCCCATAGTGGGCTCCAAATGATCTTATCGAGATCAAAAGCGTGGATTTGTGGTCAAGTGGCAAGATCCTAGTAATGGCTTGAGAGTTCTTGTTGGACGGAATGGAAATCTTTGTTGCTTAGAGTGGAGAGATTCACCTGTGAAAGACTCTCTGACGCTCATGTCAACAAGATTATTTAGGATCTTTTTTAATATTGTGAGTACAAGTAATTATAAAGTGAGTATTCCTTGAAGAATACTAATTGTATTTGTGGGATCAACATTAATGACTTATATTTTCATTAAAATAATATTTATATCAAGTATATAATAATAATATAGTTAATAAATAACATAATAATATCTCATTTTGGTAAACATATATTTAAATAAAGTCTATTTGATACTTTCAATTAGTGATAATCTATTTAGAGTCAATTTTCTTTTTCTGCCATCTCCTACCACCTTCGTGTAGTTAAAAAAATAAAATTAAGATTTTGGATTATACAGTGAAGTTAAAATAACAAAATTTGAGATATTAAAGTTTTATATATGCGTTGTATATACAATTTTTCTTTGTTTCTACTTTTACACGATGAAATAAGAAAACGAAACCTTTATCGTTCTTTTCTTTCACTTTCTTTCTTATTAAATAACTTAAAACCCGTCGCATTTTTTCTTTTCCATTTTCTTTATTACATCAAGAACATCTAAGTCTGAGATGATGGTGGATGTTGCTTACTTCGTGGAGGTAGGTCATGACTCCCCAAACTCATCATTTCCTTTTATATAATATATATATATATATATATATATATATATATATATTAATTATATACTTACCTATATAATTATTACAAATTTATTCTTTTAGTGGCATTTGATATAAGAATTTCTTTTTTCATTCCTAACTATATTGTTTGCATGAATAAGATTTTAAGATATTCTTTATAATATATATTATTTTCGTTCACTTTGGAAAAATTTTACTCTCGCGTCACTTTCTAAACTAATATTAAAATCTTAACACTAAGATTTTTTTTAAGGTAGTTCCTACTTTATATTTCTCCTCCATTATTTTACTTGAAGTTCAGAGAAGATGAAGAGTCTTATATTTTTTATTAAAGAAAACTGATACACTTTATTACTGTATTTATAGAAGACACTAGTTCTGAAAGATAAAACGCTGGAAGCCCCTAACATAAGTATTAATAATAAAATAATGACATTATACTTCAACACTCCTCCTCAAGCTGGAGCATATAGATCATATATACCAAACTTGGAACATATAAATTGAATTATAGGCCCCCTTAGAGATTTGGTCAGAATGTTTGCGAGTTGTTCATTAGAGTTGATAAACTCAGTAACAAGATCCTTTGACAATAACTTCTCCCTGATAAAATGATAATCAATCTCTATGTGTTTTGTTCTTTCATGAAACACTGGATTGGAGGCAATGTGAAGGGCGGCTTGATTGTCACAGTACAACTTCATCTGCTCATTTTGTCGCAACCGGAATCGCGATGGGACGACGA